CAACCCCAAGTGACAGCCAATCCCCATATTTATTCCCCTTGACCAGATGAACTGAAACCTTCTTGTTTTACTGAACTATTTTTATAACTCTTACGGACTTTGGTCGGACATTGTGATTTTGCGGTTGCTCGCCGTCGATATCTGTTTGGTTGTGACGATATTAGAGAGGAAATGACTTGTGGTCGGTCAAAGTTGCGGGTGGAACGGCGTTTGTCACGTTCTTTACCTTCGAACACCCGTAGGTCGAAGCTTAGGCCTTCACCTTGGCAGTCTTCTTCGGCAGAAGCACCGACTGGATGTTCGGCAACACACCACCTCGGGCAATCGTCACACCACCCAAGAGCCTGTTAAGCTCCTCGTCGTTGCGGATGGTCAGTTGCAAGTGACGGGGGATGATGCGGGTCTTCTTGTTGTCACGGGCAGCATTGCCAGCCAACTTCAGGACCTCAGCAGCAAGGTATTCCAGAACTGCGGCTGGGTACACTGGGGCACCAGCACCAACGCGCTCAGCGTAGTTGCCTTTGCGCAGGAGACGATGTACACGACCGACGGCGAATTGCAGACCCACGCGTGACGACCTGGTCTTCGCCTTGACCCGAGTTTTACCGCCTTTGCCGCGACCACTCATGGTTACTGGAGACGCTGAAGGAGAGACAATGTGGACTTGGAGTGCTTGGCTGATTCCTTGCTCCCTGCGCGCGCGCGAGTCTGTGTGTCTTGACTGGGTTCGGTTTGCCTTTATGTAGGTCCCAGTGCGTGTATGTGAGCGCGTCGGTACATGAGTGGTTGCTACGCTGACTAGGCGGTGCAGACAATCGATGTCCGATGGGTCAGTTTAATGCGACGTGTTTGTGCTTAGGAGAAAAAAGACAAGCCTCGCGATCCAGTGAGCGACTGTGAGTTGAATAGTTAAGTATGTGGGTGACTGGGTCGCTACAAGGCCACAATGACCGAAAGGAAAATCGACTTTTCGTAAAACCGCCGCCAAGTTTGAATCAATTTTTCACTCAACGGCGCTGGCTGTCCCTGCCAGTGGTCATCATGAGCAACAACCACAGCCTCGATTGCGGTGTCAGGCGCAGAACTTAGCTCTTTGACTCGCACTTTTTCAACAACCTCAACTTTCGGTACAGAGGGTCCAATTTTCGTGCAATCTTTTTGCATGCGTGCTTTTTAAATTATTGATGAAACTGTTCATTGCCCTGGTTACATTTTCGGCTGGTCACGCTTGCGGATTCATGGCTTAACACAATGGAGTGAGGCTTTTGCCCAAACACCCTCTGTAATGTATGTACTTGCCACTCAGAGGCCTCTGTTCACCGAAAAATTACAAGCACAAACTGATGTATTATCGCTTTCTAAGTTCTTAGCATAAAGCAGTAGTCTTGTAATCCTAAGGACTAAACTAAATGTTTCTCTTACTGTGTTGGGAACTGGGTGCTGGATGCGGTGTGGACAACGAAAGGAAGAAAGATATTCCACGCACCATCTATCTAATAAATATGTGCTCTGAACTTGAAAACCTTCCTACTACAGCACAGCCCTGTGTTAGTTAGATCAACGCTGAAGAACCTGTTGGCTAGAAGTTGTTCAAGCAAGGCATAAGTAAGTAGTAAGTCCCCTCGGGGACAACGGTACTCCAGGCGAAAGAAGTCGAATACCGTGGGACGTGTTTCATAATCAACTATTTAGGACTGCAAGCCATTTTGGGGCAGTTAGTTGAACACTCTTAACGGGGACATGTCTTTCTTGCGTCTTGTGTGGACGACTTTGATGGAGTGTCCTAGAAGCCGTCCGACGTGATACGGGATAAGTTGCCATGAATCATCCGCAGAACGGCAAATTCATTCTGAGCCGATTTTTTGTGGCTTAGTAAAAAGGACATGTCTGAAGAGAGCTAAATACCCAAATCCTTTTTTGCATCTATCCTCTTGATATATTCCGGTCCATTCTTGCCACGCACAACAAAGCCGTTTGCTGAGTCTCTTCCGAATGACGCATGGATGTACTTTCACTCACTCAGAAGAAGGTGTAAGCCGAACGGGCACTACTTTGCAGAGCTCACATCAACTTGGAGAGCGCTAACATTTAAACTTGAGGACTTCAAGTAGTCCACATTTGAACAAAAATCTGGAAGGCCGCTGAAGTAGATCAGATACTGAAGTGTTCCCAAAACAGCCTTGAGTAACTGTGGTGGAGACCGACGTCAAAAAACGCTAGGTAGAGCCTACTTCCACTCGTGTTGTTCTCTCTGGCAGAAACGCCATAATACAGTGTCGATTTTTCCCTTGAACTTTATAAGACTCGAGTTTTTATATCAGTGGGACGTACGGGACTTTGTCGAATGTTTTGATAAGTCAAAAAACATGGTGTCTAAAGTGAATCCATCGTCCTTAGCTTGGATCAAGCGGCCACAAATACGAGCATTCTGATTACGCAGGAATGGCTTTGGAGAGATCCGTAATGCAGTGGGGACATCAAGTTGTCAATAGTGGGCGATTTAGGATAATTCGCATCCGAATGCGTTCCATCACTTTGCACTGTACGCTAGTGAGACTAATAGCCTGTTACCGCTTGCCAGTAGTTGGTCACCAGTTTTGTAGGTTAGCGTAACACTCGCTTCCATCTCCACCGGCAATCGATGTGCGAAGTTTCGGCTAGAGGATAGTTGCTCAAGGTTTCGTATGGGGAACTGGTTACCCTCCGGTTGACTCGAGTAGCAACGGTACACCACGCCATGAAGAGGTGAATTGGTCTCACGCACCAGGAATTGAAACCGCAATGTACCACCAAAAAGCACAGGAGTAGTGTCGGAGGGAACCATCGGGATGGGCATGGCCGCACTTAAGTATAAATCAGTCTCACATGACCTCCCACTTTTCCAGTCAGCTCGAAAAAGGAGTAGCATTCTACTGATATTTTTTCGTCACAGACATCCCACGTGGACCAAGATTTTGTAAGTGCGATTATGGATGACAGTTCAAAGCAGGCTGACTGCTAAACATCGCACAGTTTGTTGGGGGAACTGAGGCAGTTTGTGAATAAGCACTTCAGCACTATCCCTGCTGCGTCCAAAGGTGGATAGCTATGGGGTGTGCTACCAGAGGTGTTACCAAATTCAGCAGCTGCACGCCAGGTTTGAGTCAGGACTCCGTAGAGGTGTACCTGTACGCCTTCCTCCTTGGTTTTTCCGGGAAATGCCCTTTGTGGGAAGGGTTTTTATTTCTTAACCCCCTGAGGGTTCGGTTTGCGCGATGCTTTTGCACATGGACGGCACAGTCCCCCTGTGGTTAAAACGTTGATAACTGCCACTTGTAGCTCATACAGTACCAAATTTGGACGTTCGGATTTGTTTTTGTATAAGGATTTTCTTTGAGCAAGTGTCCGTTTAGTTTTCTGTTTTTTGCGCAGTGTGGCCGGTAAGTAACCTCTGTGAAGCCCTGTCAGGCCATTTGTGCGTGATGTCACCAAGTAGTATCTCTATTCTTGGCATCCCAAGAAGCGCACTTACCCAGAGCGCTGCATCTTGATGGGGTGTAGTCCATTTGTCTTATTTGACCTCAGTGGCTTTTCGCCTGTTTGTGTGGGCTCACAGATTGTCCGCGATCAGCGTGTTCAATTGGTGTGTGTGAATGTTTAGTACACTGCTGTGAGGTTTGTGGTTTTGTTCGTCTGGGTTATAACCCGCGACTGTGTGCACGATCGGGGGACTGCATTTCACGGAGTGGAGCTGGAGGCTGGCAGCAACGCATTTCTGTGATTGTGTTATTGGACGGAGAAACAACCTAGGAAATGATGTACTGCTCTTTTGATTTCACGGAAGCTGGAGGCTGGCAGCAACGCATTTCTGTGATTGTGTTATTGGACGGAGAAACAACCTAGGAAATGATGTACTGCTCTTTTGTCCTGCTCCAAATTAGCCTGAACAACCCACAGCGAAGCGCAAATTGTCTGCATTTAACGAAGGCTTGAATGGCCGGTCGCGGGTTAGGATGCAACAGGTCATAACGAAGGTTTATAGTCTGTACGAGAGTACCTAGAGTAAGATTCTTTAAAATATTTACAAGGTCGGATTATTGCTATTTTCATCATTGTTTTCGGTGTCTGGTAGACGTTAAAACAAAACCAACAACTACGTAACAGCAAGAAAACGTAGCTAAGACAGGTACTATCAGATTTCATCAAGAGCGCATTGGCATATTCGAGGAACTTTGTGATTACTGAAGGCAGGTCTTCTAACATGACGAGGGTAACGCGCACATTAACCTACTGAACTATGAATTTAGGTATTTAGCGTGGCAGTTGTAGATAACTTGGATGGTCCCAACCAACTTAAATGATCTGCACACAGAAAAATCCTGTTCTTCATTCCAAGGCAAACGTCTACAAGGGAAACCGGGGGAAGGAACTGGTGAGTACATGTCTAAGGAGGTGGCTCAACATGTACTCCCTTTGGAATATACATTATACTAGATATATTTATCTGAGTTCACGGTAGTTGCGTGATCATAATCCTCTTTTCTTGTACCACATACAGAAGGGATTCTTAACATAAGTAGGTAAGTATATATATATGCTATCATGTGTTAATGCGGTTTTTCGAAATAAATAAACCGAGGCATATGTATGTCCGGATGTGTCCCCTTGCAACATATTCAAAAATTACCCGATACTGGTGTGTAGCGTTTTTGGCAAATTACACTGTTTCCACCTCTTGTAATTATGCAGTATACCCAGCAAAATGCTGAAGGCCTGTGCCATCCTTAATGATGCCTGTTTACTCGAAGCCGATCGTACGAAAACTTGGAATCCTTATGTTTTTTGTTCAAGATAATATGGGGTCACTGCGAGAATGTTCTCCCGCCTCGTCATGCGGAACTGCACTAGAGAGTAGATGGTTCGCGCTCTGTTTTTTATTACAAATTACCTCAACTTACAAGATTCTTTGGAATCTTTGACTTTCCGTCTGTTTTGCCGGCCACCTGGTGCATTTGTAGTACACCCATTCGTAATGAAAATCAGTGTTGGTGCTCCGATTACTGGATGAACGCATGAATACCGCGCCGCTCACTGGAAGGGCACCCAAATCCATTTTGCCGAAACTATAGAGTTTCCGCAGTTCTGATTTTCACAGAGAGGTGGTCTTCGCTACTTGCATCTTTCGTTGACATGTTGCGCATAGCATTCTGTTTAAGTAAGCGGAATGTCAAGGTCACGAATCATCACTGATTCGAATTTTGTTACCAGTTTGCGCGCGATAAAACACGAAATCGCAATTTAGGGTTCTTCAGCGCTTATTAAGAATAAAATAACGTCTACAAAATAGATAATACGAATTTCCCCCGGGAAACTCATTCTTTGACGTTTTTTGCTTTATAATACCCAGAATTAGCGAATGCTATCATTTTGTTCAGCAAACTTCGTCGCAACACATTCTCCCATGAAGCTCAGCTGCCCTTAAGTACAACATTGTTAGACAACAGCACACAATGTGCAGTAGCGATGCGAGTGTCATCTCTGTGGATGATCCCTTTTCCCAGATATGCATAGCTGGCCTGTAGATAATACAGCGCTCTATTATCTGCAGGTGACGCGCGTCACGAGATAGCTGCAGGCAAGTCACCGACACAGTAATATAATTCTTATTAGGAATATGAGGCTCTATATACTGTGACCTACCTTGGCTGCTTCTTGAAACGGCCAGGCCAGTGCCTATATGCCCTTATATGATTATTAGGCCTCAATTATGCATGGCGTCCTAATTTAACGACCAACGATGGCCCGTCATACCCATAGCTGTAAGCGCTGCCGCTCATATCTGCTATCTATATTAAACGCCAGGCCAGTATCTATGGGGGCCTCAACTATTCGTGACAGCCTAACTAAACGGCCAACGACGGCCCGTCATACTCGTAACTGTGGTCGATATCGCCCACCTTGGCTACTTACAGTAACTACCAGGCCTTTGTCTATGTGCAACACTAAATATGAGGACTCTATTATACTAAGTAGGCCAGTCCAATCGCCAAAGACGGCCCATCATACTCTTAACTGTACTTGATGTCACTTATAGTAACTGCCGTCCAGTACACATGCTCGTGGCTGACTATACTGCCCAGGCTACACATAAGGGACTAGATAGATTATTTCCAAATCCAATACGA